GTGCTAAGGCTCTCTGGGGGTGAACCACTCCTTGCATTTCCTGCATTTATCCATTATCCAATGTACGAAGAGACGGTTAATGAAAATGGAACAGTATCCGGGACACAATATTTCCCGTTCCGCACGATGGCCATGCTTGGCTCGTTTATTGGGTGTATTGGCGCATCCGTGTTATCTCAGTATTTATTCACAAACGGTAAGTTGGAAGTTATCTACAAAAAAATTTTTTTATAAACACTGTCCGGGCATTTTTCAGTCCTGTGTAACAAAAATATCAAATACAAGGCCAACACTTTAAAATCCCTTCATATTCATCCTCTGTGAAAGGTAGGAGAACTCAAAAGTAGCACTACTACCACATGCCAAAGACATTCACTCGCTGGCACGGTACCATGGCGAACTCGAACCTTCGACTTCAAGCATGAAAAGGACGTAATTTGCGACTGTGCCAAGATCGCCAAAACGCAAATGTGGATGATTTGATATCGTCCACGGCCACGAAGTTATACATATTTTACCATGCCAATGTGTGCTGTAGTATGTGACACCTTCGGAATAGAAGTTATCTGCGGCAGTTAAGTGATGCATCTTCCCCTTCGTACAGCTACTGAACAGATACTTCTACTTCATCTGCACTTCTTGCTTCAGAGCTGCATTCCGGTAAATAATGTTGTGGAATTTCAGGAATACTTCCAGTGGGAATGGATTTCCTGAAATGTGTCGTCAACATACCACCTGAGCGTATTGCACTGCATTCAGATGTGAGCTTCAATGTTAGCAGCGAAACTCTTGCTGCTCCAAAACCGAATGATTTCAGTGAAAACTACACAAGTGGAAATATTCTGCGACCACCATACCGTTCACCGGCTACGGAGTTGAGCACCTTACAGACCACCAATAATAGAGACTATCTTACACTCACGGATAATATGTAGCAGTATCGCACTTGTAAACCGACCCACTCTTTTCAGCATCAATTTCCAGATGCCACGGAAATATGTAGAAGTGTTTAGCATAATTTCCTAGAGTGCTACAGTATAAAGCCATTGTTATTTATTTTGTTTATTGTTCACACCATCCATCAAGGATATATAAAATACCTGAGAGAAAATCCGTAACGTAATCCATAAAATATTCACTTTCTAAATGTTTAAACAATATAGGCGATAGTTTTTTTGTAAGACAATTCCCACTCGCACGAGCTCAGTTTTTGTTTGCTTTTGCTTTTTATACGTTTCTGTCGTGGAGCACTATGGCGCTGCTACAACGAACAAATACGCATATTGTCAAGAGGCCGTCTTTGTGTGTGTGTGTGTGT